CTTTGTCATTAGAATAAACCAGAGAAAGGCCCAAAACATTGAGGAAACCAGCTCCCTCCCTATCAGTAAAGCAGCATTAAAAGATCATAATAATATGATAAGAAATAGGAACAGGAGTAGGCCATTCGGCTCTTCAAGTCTGCTCCATTATTCAATAGGATCATGACTGATCTGATATTCGTTATGTCCACTTTCCTGCCCTTTCCCCATGACCCTTGATTTCCCAACTGATCAAAAATCTATCTATCTCAGCGTTAAATATTCATAAAGACTCTGCCCCCACAGCTCTCTGTGGCAAGGCATTCCAAGATTCATACCCCTCTAAAAGTAGAAAATCCTTCCCTTCTCAAATTGGTTCCCCTTTATTTACTTATTTTTCTTCGTTCATTCACGGGATGAGGGCATCACTGGCCAGGCAGCATTTATGCCCATCCCTAATTGCCCAGAGGGCAGTTAAGAGTCCACCACATTGCTGGGTCTAGAGTTACATGTAGGCCAGACCAGGTAAGGATGGCAGTTTCCTTCCCTAAAGGACATTAGTGAACCAGATGGGTTTTTCCGACAATTCACAATTGGATTCACGGTCATATTAGATTCTTAATTCCAGATATTTTATTGAATTCAAATTCCACCATCTGCCATTGTGGGATTCAAACCTGGGTCCCCACGACACTATCTGGCTCTCCAGATTAATAGTCCGGTGATAATACCACTAGGCCATTGCCTCCCTTGTTCTCTTACAAACTTATAAACAACACCCTCACCGGAATAAAATTCATCAGAGAGGAGGAGAAGAACAAACAGCTCCCATTCCTGGATGTCATGGTAGAGCGCAAGACAAATGGGGAACTCCAAATGAAAGTACACAGAAAAGCCACACACACGGACCAGGTACTGAACTTCAACTGTAACCATCCCAGCATGCACAAACGAAGCTGCGTGCGAACACTATTTAAACGGGCAACAACACACTGCAGCAACAGAACTATGCCAAGAGGAAGAAGAATACCTCTTCCAGCTTTTCAAGGATAATGGATATCCAAAAAACTGGGTCAGAAGATGCCTACACGAACAACATCAGGAAGGTACTACACGCCCCGACATACTCATCATACTACCCTACATCAGGAACACATCGGAACTAACCACAAGACTCCTACGACCACTGGGCATCAGAGTGACACACAAGCCCACATCAACCCTACGACAACTGCTCACCCGAACTAAAGACCCACTCCCCGCCATGGACATGACCAATGTCATCTACAAGATCCCCTGCAGAGACTGTGAGAAACGCTACATTGGACAAACAGGAAGGAAACTAACAACAAGGGTACACGAACACCAACTGGCTACAAAAAGACACGAATATTCACTCATCTCAATCCACATGGATAAGGAGAACCACCAATTTGACTGGGACAACACCAAAATCCTGGGACAAGCTAAGCAGAGACAGGCATGGGAATTCCTAGAAGCCTGGCACTCCACGAATAAAGCCATTAATAAACACATAGAACTCGACCCCATATACACTCCACTATGAAGGAAAACCGGAAGTGAGGCAATCCAGCTAAATGGACTCCACAGTTCAAAAACCATGCGGGAAAACACACCGACGCTTCATCAGAGTCTACACTGATGATGTTACCCAGCGTGGTAACGAAATGTCTGTGGAACAACAAACAAGTTCGGCGAGCCAACCAACCTCAACACCCACAACCTGAGCAACAAATCTACTTCAAAACCTTAGAGACTATACACTCTGGTTCTAGACTCTCCCATGAGGGGAAACATCCTCTCAACATTTACCCTGTCAAGCTCCATAAGAATCTTATGTCTCAAAGAGATCTTTTATTCTTTTAAATTCCAGAATAGAGTCCCAGCCTGTTTAACTTTTGCTCATAAAATAATCTCTCCATTCCAGGGATCATCTCTTAACTGCCTCCGACGAAATGATATCTTTCCTTAAGGGGACCAAAACTGCTCACAGTAGTCTGGATGTCGTCTCACCAGCACCTTGTACAGTGGCAGTAAGGCTTCCCTGTTCTTACACTCCAAATTCATTGAAATAAGGGCCAACATTCCATTAGCCTTCCTGATTACCTGCTGCAACCATGTGCTAGCTTTCTGCATTTCATGCACAAGTACCCCCAAGTACTTTCGTGTTGCAGCTTCCTGCAGTTTGGCTCATTTAAATAATATTCTGTTTTCTTGTTCTCCCTTCTAAAAGTAGCATTTTCCCTGATTTTATTCGATTTACCAACTTTTGCCCATTTACTTAACCTATCAATGTCTCCCTGTAAACTGTTTGTATCCCTCTTACAACCTGCCTTTCCACCTATTTTAGTGTCATCTCCAAATTTGGCTACAGTACATTTAATTCTTTCTTCCAAGTCATTAATATTCTTCCAAGTCATATTGTAAACAGTTGCATACCCAGCACTGATCCCTGTGGAGCCCCACTATCAAGGATCGCCAACCTGAAAAAGAACCTTTAACCCCACTCACTGTTTCACTGAGCTCATTTCATTAATGTATTCTCTCTTAGTTCCTGTATCAGCATGCTGACTACTTTTTGCATCTCTTCCAGTCTGTTTGAATACATCACTTAATAAAGAATTTAAAACTGTTCCCTTTATTCCAAATTCAATCTAACCAAGACGAGATCAAATTCCAACATAACATTTCTGCTTTTCAATTCTCTCCTTCCAGAAATGAACCTCAATGATTTACTCGAAAGCTCTCAGTTTGCTTAATTCTATTTGCCTGCATTGGTTACATTACTCTTAAAAAACCAGACAAAAATTTGCCAATCTCAGTTTTGAGATTTTCAGTTGATCCCCTCAACCTCTTATTGGAGTAAGAGATTTCCAATTTACACTAACGCTTTGTGTGAAGAACCACTTCCTGACAACATCCCTGAACACCCTGGCTCTAATTCTAGGATTCTACCTTTGTTCTGGACTCCTGACCAGAGGTAATAGTTAACCAACTCTCTCCATCTGCTACGATCTGATGAAAGCAATCTCCAACAGTCTTACCTCCCATTTTCTCCCCAGACAATAGTTGCAGAGTTAAAATATCAGGCAGGAATATGCCATGTTCAAGACTTTCACTACTCCTTAGTGCTTACAAATACTCCTTTAAATCAGACACTGCCAACGTGTGTGTACTGCAAGACACATGGCTGATTTGATAAAGACATTAATCACCTTTGATGATGCCCATGTGCACCCCTACCTCAGCTCATTGGCTGCTGAAACCTTCATCCATGCCTTCATTACCTCCAGACTTGTATTTTCCAATCCACTCCTGGTCAATCTCTCACTGAATTAGGTTTATTGTTACATGTACTCACATGAGTACAGTGAAAAGTTTACAAATTGCCACTTATGGTGCCTTTTTCAGTACAAAGATACCTAGGTACAGAATCTTGGTAAAAAGCAGAAAAATAGAGAAAACAAAGTTAAAAAGTTAAATATTACAGTCCTTCTTACTGAAAAGTAGAAAAACAAAGAATCACAGTTAACAGTTCAACAACACAGTCCATATGCCCCTAGCCACTCTGGGCTCACACTCCTCACAAGGGCTTGATGTCCCCTGCTCCGGTTGCCTCATTGCTCATTCTCTATATATTTGAGATAATTAAAAACCTCACTGAATCCCATTCACCAATCATCCCTATGCTCACTGATCAATACCGGCTCCTTGTCAAGTAATGTCATGATTTTAAAATTCTCATCCCTATTTTCATATCTATCCATGGTTTCATTTCTATCTCTGTGGCTTCAGCCTCAAAGCCCTTTGTGATATCTGGATTCATCTAATGCTGGCCTTTACAGCATCCTAGATTTTAATTGTTCCACCACTGGTGGCTGCACCTGCTGTTGCCTGGGCCACAATCTTTGGAATTCCCTGTAAAACCCTTCTACTTCTCCGTTCCCATAGAAGATTCTACTTTGGCCACTTGCTGGAATCTCTCGTTTTGCAACTTGGTGGCAGTTTTTAAAAAAATCATTCATGGGACATATTACCTGTCCATAGTTGCCCTTGAAAGGTGATAGTGATCTGCCTTCTTGAATTGCTGCAGCCCATGTACATGAGGTAGACCCACAATGCCAATAAGGAAGGAATTCCAGGACTTAGACCCTGTGACACCGAGAACAGTGATATATTTCCAAGTCAGGATGGTGAGAGGATTGAGGGGACCTTGCAGGTGACTGTGTTCCCATGTATCTGCTACCCTTGGCCCTTCTAGATGGATGTGATTGTGGATTTGAAAGGTGTTGTCTAGGGAGGCTTGGTCAATTACTGAAATGCTATTTAGCGTCAGTGGTGGAGGGAGTGGATGTTTGTGGATATGGTGCCAATCAAGCAGGCTGATTTCTCCTGGATGGTGTCAAGCTTCTTGAGTGTTGTTGGAGTAACACTCATTCAGGCAAGTGGGGAGTATTCCATCACACTTTTAGCTTGTGCCTTGTAGATGGTAGACGGGCTTTGGGAAGTCAGGAGGTGAGTTACTTGCTGCAGGATTCCTAGACCCTGACCTGTTCTTGTAGCTACTGTATTTATATGGTTAGTCCAGTTCAGTTTCTGGTCAAGTGTAATCCCTAGGATATTAATAGTAGGGTATTCAGTGATAATAATGCATTAAATGTCAAGGGGCAATGGTTAAATTACCTCTTATTGGAGTCAGTCATTGCTTGGCATTTGTTTGTGTGAATTTACTTGCCACTTTTTGGCACGAGCCTGGATGTTTTCCAGGCATTGCTGCATTTGGACATAGATTGCTTTAGGATCTCAGGAGTCGTGAATGGTGCTGAACATTGTGCAATCGTTAGCGAATGTCCCTAGTTCTGACCTTAGGATGGAAGTTGGTTTTGTTTAGTGACGCTGTTGTGAGCCACTTTGTTTTACTGCATTAGAAGTGCTATATAAATGCAAGGGGATATTTGTATGGACAGTAGTCCTATATTTTGCTGAACCTTGTCCATTACCTCCACATTGCGGACAGAGGGGTCAGGGGCAGACTCAGGCCAATCAGGGAGCTCCTGGTAGCCTCCAGCTTTGCTGTTCAGCAGGTGGGACAATGAGCCGAGCTGAAAATGATCCCGATCTGTGAGAAAGGCAAATCACAAAATTATAAAACTGTCTCTGAACTACCTGACACCCTAACAGCCCAACTCACATTTAATCCTGACCTTCTCTACAGAGACCACATTGAAAAACAAGCTAACTACTCAACATAACTCACAACCACTTAATTCAAATGATCTGATGATTAAAATGGTTTTTAACTATGTACCGCCCACATTGCTAAAAATCTGAACCATTACTGAACAGAGTGACATGTTTCAGTCACGGAATGTTCGCATTACTGCCTATCTCTAATTGCCCTTGGGAAGGTGGTGGTGAGCTGCCTTCTTGAACTGCTGTGATCGTGTGATCTAGGGACACCCACAGTAGTATTAGGAAAGAAATACCAGAATTTTAATACAGTGTTAGTGATGACATAGTTGAATGGTGACATAGTTCCAATTCAAGATGGTGTGTGGCTTGGAGGGGAACTTGCAAGTGTTAGTGTACCTAAGTATCTGCTGCTCTTGTCCATCTAGATGATACAAGTCATGATTTTTGGAGGTGTTGTCAGAGGATCCTGTGTGAGTTGCTGCAGTAGATGTTGCAGTTGGTAAACACTGCTGCCACTATGCATTAGTGGTGACGCAAGTGAACATTAAAGATGGAGGCTAGGATATGAATCAAGTGAGCTGCTTTATCCTGGTTGGTGTTGAACTTCTTGAGTGTTGTTGAAGCTGCACCAAGTGGAGAAATTTCATCACACTCCTGACTTGTGCCTTGTAGACTGTGGACAGGCATTGAAGGGACAGGAGGCAAGTTGTTCACCACATGATTCCCAGCCTTTGATCTGCTCAGTATTTATATGGCTAGTCCAGTTCAGCTTTGGTCAGTGGTAATCCCCAGAATGTTGACAGTAGGAGATTCAATGAGGTAATACTATTGAATATCAAGGGAGATGATTAGATTCTCTATTGTTGGAAATGTTCAATCATGGCACAGGTGTGGCATGAATATTACGTGTCACTTGTCAGCCCAAACCTGCACATTATCTACATTTATTGCATTACTTACCAAAGGTTTTCATGTTTCAATCACCAGAATCATATTTAATAGAAGTTTTGTTTTGGGCTTTATAAACACAGTTGACTGATTACCTTAAATTAGTGATCAGGAGCTGAATTATGAAGTATTTAATTGAGGTAATATACAGATTTTAAAACATTTTAACTGAACTCCTTCTCCTGAGTGAGATATTTGTTAAACTCTGTATGTTTCATTTCTGGATTAAGGTAGAAAGATAAATAACTGAGCAAGAACTGTGAGGGGTTCCCCCTTGGAATACAATTTTCCAAAATGTAATAAGCATAGGTCAGGGAGGGAAAAGAAAGTTTAGGTCAGTGGGACTAATTGAATTGCCTTTCAAAAGAACAGATACAGATTTGAAGGGTCAAATGCCCTTCTTCTATGTTCTACAGTTCTATGGTTCTGGGTCAGGCCATGACATCATGGCTCAGAGTCTATGGTGGAGGAGAGAACAAAAATGGCAAATTTGGTGGAGAGAACCTGAAAATTGGAGTCAGTCTGTTCAAAGGGTAGTATGGAAATCTCTTCCCTCCCTCAACAACAACACTTGTTCAACAACATTTGAAGTCCAAGATCCACAGATCTTTGTTTAGTAAGGTGGCAGATAAGGTTAAAATTGAATTGAATGGGAGAATAAGCTCAAGAGGCTGAATGGCTTCAACTTGCGTCCTGAATCCCAACAATAATTTCTGTTCTGATTAAAACAATAAATGTTTACTGAGCAATTATCAGCACGCCAGCACTCTAAGGCCAGGGTTCTCAAAGTCATCGAGAAGAATTCTGTTGATCCTTACCTGCAACATGGAGAGCTGGGGCCAGCCCTGTGCCAATCAAAGGTTGGCAGCACTTGGGACCTAATCACAGGCAGGTAATGTCAGGAGGGGTTAAGTGGCCACTTCAGCAGGATGTCTGACCATGGACATTCCTACTCAGATTCTAGTGGAGGCTGGAAAGTTTCGGGGTTTTGGGTATGACATCATTCCACTTAATTAAATGCTCTTCCTGCCTCCAACTTCACCACCAGAAGAAGGTTCTTCCTACTGTGACTCCACTGCCTCACAAAATCCATACATCATAACTTCCTACCTTTAAAGGAGGATTCGAGGACTGGAGCAGGCTTCTGGGCCAGAAACAGCTTCTTGGCATACTTGCTCAACACTCCACTCTTCTCTGTTGGAACGATGAGCTGCCGGATGAAACGGGCTCGATCCCGGATGTCGTAGTTCTGGTCATACTTGGCCAGATTAAGAACGTACTGAGTCAGCAGTTTGGTCTGGAGGGTAAGGGGAAGTAAAAACACCTCAAAGTATGTCAACCAAATACAACACAAAAATGATCAGAGCAACAGATAGATGTTTTGTAAAAACCTAAGAGCAGGGCAATACAGTAATGGCAATGTGGTGGAAACTTCACTGGAACAGTAATCCAGAGGCCCAGGCTAATGTTGCAGGGTCACGGATTTAAATTCCATCATGGCAGCTGATTTCTGGAATTGGAAACTAGTCATCCATGAAACTATCATCAATTATTGTAGAGAAAACATCTGGTTCGTTAATATCCTATAGGGAAAATATCTGCTGTCCTGACCCAGTCTGGCTCACAAAAGACTCTATGCTCACAATAAAATGGCTCACTCTTAAATGCCCTCTGAAATGGCTCATCAGTTCAAGTAACTATTAGGGATAGGCAATAAACACTGGGCTTGCCAATGATGCCCACATCCTGTGAAAAAAAAAATGATGCAGAAAGAATTAAGATGTGCTGAAGAATCAGGAGGTGTGCAGCTTGCCTGAGAATGTTTTGATCACTGGGATGGTTTGCAGTCATCCCATACACTGTGGAATCAACAACATGGGTCTTTATCAAAAGGCGTAAACTGCTATCAGATGGATTGATATTGTGCAGAAGACTAGGGTTGCAGACGCTAAGCTCAATTAGGCCCCATTCAATTGAAGGAAGTAATACATTATGTTCCCAGGTCACTTGAGATTTGACCAACGCAGGAGTCTCTGAGTAATGTCTCTGTCAGGAAGGGGAGAAGCTTTATGAGTGAGGGTTGGAGAAGCTTACGGCTGGTTCCTTCATATTGGTGAAAAAATCCAATTACCTCACAGGAGGATAATGAATTTAAAAGCAAAGGACAGCTGCGTCAGGACAGTTGGATAAGTCTATTGTCTGATAGCTTCACACATGCTCGGATCAACCAGCATGATACCCTCAGCGAATAAGCTGACCTCTTTGCACACAGGTAGAGCACTCAAATCATCTTGTTTATTCAACCCTCCAAGTTAAAATCTCTCAAAGAAGGAACTGGACTATCTCCTGATATAGGCAGAGATCACACCATATAGGATAAACTTAATAGATAACTTGTTGAGTTCTGGAGTGGTTTCGATCTCTTGAAGGGATCACAGTGCAATTTTATACCAGGTACTATGTTTTCCCTTGTTTGCCCTAGAAGATCAAAAGACCCCATAAGATGTTGGAGGTGGAGGTGGGCATTGAAGAGGGAAAGAGAATGAAGCAAATGTTGAGTTGGAATACTCCGACCCTTGTGATGCATGGAGAAAGCTTGACTGAAATTGTCTTTTCTTGCTCATCAGTTTTGTACATTCATAACATTTTCTGTATTGGGGCAAATGGGACCAGTTGAAATTTTTACCAATTTCCAGGCAGCCCTATTCAGTTCAGTATGGAGCTGGAGGAACACAGTAGGTCAGGCAGCATTAGAGGAGCAGGAGAGTTGACGTTTCCGGTTGGGAGCCTTCTTCAGAACGGTCCCGACCCAAAATGTTAACTTTCCTGCTCCTCTGATGCTGCCTGGCCTGCTGTGTTCCTCCAGCTCCACACTGTGTTATCTCTGACTCCAGCATGTGCAGTTCTTATTATCCCATTCAGTTCAGTCGTTGTATTCTTGACACTGAAGGCTGCTCAGCAATGAAGTTTTAATTTAATCAATAAACCTTGCCCATTTTCCAACTGGCCTGCAAAAATAGTAGACTCGCCCACTTTAAGGGCATTTAAATGGTCATTGGATAAACATATGGATGATAATGGAATAGTTTAGGTTAGATGGGCTTCAGATTGGTTTCACAGGTCGGCACAACATCGAGGGCCGAAGGGCCTGTACTGCGCTGTAATGTTCTATGTTCTATGTTCTAAAGGATCAGGAATTCGACACTCACATAGGTGACCTCATTTGAAAATGAAACACAATTGCCAGCTAAAATAGAACAGTACAAATAAATAGTAACCACGAGCAAGATTTAACATCAACACCTCCCTTTGTATGGCCCCATATTCACCCACTGTATAACAGGATAGGCAAGCACCTGTTTGGAGTTGGTAAGGTACAGTTTGGCAGCCAGGTTAATGATTTGCAGCTTAACAATGTCTTCCTCATTGGTGAAGGACTTGGCCATTTTCCGAAGCACATCGGGAGCGATCGTGGGCACATGTTCACAGTACTCACCGATAAGCCAAAGGATACTGGCTCTTGCCATTGGAACCTACCCAGAAAAAAGACAAATAATCAGTGATCTGTCTTTGTGTCGGCAAATAGGTTGTTCTAAAGGTTGTGCAACACAAAGGTGGTGGTTGTACCACCGAGTGCCAGAAGATTCAGGTTCAAGTTCTACCTCATCATGTGGTGGCCATAGAGCTGTGTCATAATTCCCTCCCTAAAAGCATTTTGGGTCAACCTACAGCATGTAGACTGCAGCAGTTTAAAAGGACAGCTCACCACCTGGAGGGCAACTAGGGATGGGCATTAAATGCTAGCCAGCCAGCAAAGCCCACGTTCTATGAGTGAATCAAAGAAAAAATGTGTCCAAATGGGTTGTTCTTTTAGCTTTACTATTGTGGCAGCCATGACTCAGTGGTAGCACTCTCACCTCTCAGTCACAGGGTTCTGGGATCAATTCCCACTCTAGGGCCTGAGGACAACTTGTAGTTCAGTGATGAAGGAATGCTGCACAATTTGAGGTCCTATTTTCTGGAGTGGTATTAAACTAAAACCCTACCTGCCCCATTAGGTAAATGCTAAAATATCCCATTGCACTACCTCAAAGAATGGCAAGGAAATTACTCCCAGCTCCCTGGCCAACCTTTAGCCCTAAATCAACATTATGAAGGAAAAACAGCTGACTATCAGGTCATTATCACATTGCTGTTCATGCAATCTTGCTGTGCACAAGGTGGCTGCAGGATAAAACAGGACATACACCGAAAAGATGTTCCCTGATGGGATTTAAAGGGCTAAAGCAAAGTTAGTGACACAGGTTTTGAAGAAAAATTAGGGAATCAAGATATAAGGGTGGATTCACCAACAGCAACAGAAGCAGTTTTGACTTTGTTTTGGCTTTGTAGCTGCAAGTACTTGGGAATACATATCAATTGAACTAAAACTGCATTTCTGCAGTGAGATTGGCTTAAAGGAAGTGATTCTTCATTCTCCAAAAGAAGCACCAAATGCATGAATGTTTGCGGATGTGGTGCTAATCAAGCAAGCTACATTGTCCTGGATGGTCACAGTCATACAGTATGGATGTCAAGCTTGTTGATAGTTGTTAGAACTGCATTCATCCAGACAAGTGGGCAGTATTCCATCGCACTCCTGACTTGTGCCTTGTAGATGGTGGACAGGCTTTGGGCTGTCATAAGGTGAGTTACTCATTGAAGAATTCCTAGCCTCAGGAAAGCCTCTTGTAGCCACTGTGTTTACATGTCTAGTTCAGTTCAATATCTGGTCAATGGCAACTCCCAGGATTTTGATAGCTGGGCACTCAAACAAGGCCAGATGCCAGTTTTGAATATTAGGGTTGAGTATGAAAAATCCCAAGGTGGAAGATATTATTCACTCAAACAGAACGTTGAAAAAATTAAAAATCAAGCTTTGTGCTTTGCAATTTCCATCATTGGGAGATGCCAGGAACGTGAAACTTGTTGTTTTTTGTGATGTTTCTTGTGCAAATCTCTGTGATGGGTTCTCAAGTGCAAGAAAATTTATAATATTTCCTCTAGTAAATGTTGCCCTTTAGCGTGGGAAGATAAAATGAATCTTAACGATGAAGACTCTTGCTCTTGGTGAGGCATTTTTTTAAAGTAGATGTACGGTATTTTTTTTAAGCAGACGTATGAAGAAAATTTTTCAACAAATTCAGCAGCAACACTGAGTGCCGCATCAATCATAAAATGGGATGAAGTACACTCGATGAAATGTGTGAATGATAAAAGAGTGATCTTGCAGTTTTAAAACAGTGGATGGAAAATGGAGAGACCTCCAAATTGAAATAGGTGGATGGCAGCAATCAGCTATTTAATAGTTTTACAAAGAATCTGCTTCTAAGTCTAACAGTTTCTAAGAAACTGTTAGACTTTACTGGAGAAAGATCACTTGGAACTTTAACGTGCAACAAAAAAGATGGGAATATAATCTCATGTCATTTTCTATGTTTTGTTCACACACACACACTCATATATAAATCTATGGGGTGAATTTGTATTTGCAGATACATTCTATTTTGTTCAAAAAGCACGCAATTTATAGACAGTCAGTTAATGTGGCATTTTATATATTCCTACTTTAGAAATAAAACCAGTCTGACTCCAAAACGAAATGCAAACAGATTCTAAACAAGGCCTCACACCTAACATGCATTGTCTGACCTAAAATGTCACCTCTTCTTTACACTGATAAAATCTTCGGTTCTCTCAAGGCAGTGATTTGAATGAAATTCGGGGATTTACATATACATATTAATCAATTAAAACCTTCTAAATGATTAAAGATTTAACAGCATCTTAGGTTTGCTTAATACATCCTCAGCTGTGTTCTGCGTGCTTCTTTCTCACTTCACCTGAAGAAGGGGCTACGCTCTGAAAGCTTTGTTTTCAAATAAACCTGTTGGACTATATCTGGTGTCATGTGATTTCTGACCTTGTCCAACACTGGCACCTCCACATCGAAGCTCAACAAAGCATTGCCACCTTCTCAAGGGCAATTAGGGATTGATAGTAAACGCTGTCTTAGCCAGCAAAGCCCTATATTCCCGAGTGAATAATTTTTAAAAAAGAAAAAGAATGGTCAGCATCCTCGTACCTTACCACGACACTAACCATGATGTTGTCAATGAGTTTTGCCATATGTCGGATGATGTCACTATGTTGCGACGGTTGCATCTGCAGCAGCTTCTTAATGACGACCACAGACTCAGCAACTACCAACTCTGCAATACAATGGAAGTCATGTTTAAAACAGCAGAACTCTGGTCAATAGTCCCCTCTTCCTTCAGTACCATGGGACAGTTGGGACAAATAGTGCAAGCATGATGTATGTGACTGACAGAGAGGGGATGGTGCTAGTGAGGACAGAACAGGATGATACAGCCCCTCATTGCACAGATCTGTCCTGGGGTACAGCAACAGAATATTATAGGGACTGCAAATTGAGACGACAGGACTGAGAGATCTCACACTTAGGCAACACGGGTGACATTGCAGAATGTGGAATATATAATGATAAATCATACCGAAAAGACAGACATGTTGTTGAAGCTTTCTGTCTTGCATTCATCAGGTCATATGCAAGTATGCCAAATTTTAAATGATCACAATCTATGCTACAGGAGGAAAAAGATGCTAATTGGTTTGAATTTAATTAGGCTCCAATATCGTTATGGAGAAAACAAGTAAGAACTACAGGCTTCCCAAACTCCTGGATAATTCAAACAAGGAATGAGGCTTGAAGATATTCCTTTTGTTTGCAGGGAACATGTCCCTGCTTATGAAGGTTTGTCACTTCTAGCAAATATAAATGAGTCACATTACAAGCTCCACTAACAATCTTAACATGGTTATTCATGTAACTATTAACATATTTAGGATTGTTGAATAATTGTGCCCAATCGCAAATGATTTGTTAGGTTTTGCAAGTGCAAGTTGACTGAGAAGCATCTGTGACATTGCAAACAACAGAAACAACGTGATGCTTGATTCGATCAGCGAACCATTGGGATGGCATTGGGACTAAATAGATAGAGAAATACAGACGGAAATGCAATTGCAAGTGGAATAAATCTGTCAAAGGGTCTGTGTCATGTCTGCTACTGTATTTGACTCTTGTGTTTTGTCATTGATGCGTAAGGCATGCATTTCAAACTAACTCTCACACACTAAATATTTTGCTGTCAGCTGCTCAGTGTTTCCTGTTAGTTATTTGTTGCTTGGGCCTTACCATCTCTATTGGATAGCAGCTGAACCAATCCATTCAGGCAAGTGTCACGGACCTCATCAATGTTGGTAGCACATCGGCCAATAGCCTGGATAGTGGCAGCTACAAAGTCCTTGTCCTGACTCTTGATGTATGTCTGAAAGAAGAGAGAAAGTGATGGATAGCAGTACAGTAATAATAGTTACATAATAATAAGAGGACATCTTGTGGTGCAATGGGTAGTCTCTGAAGCAAAATCTCTGAATTCAAGCCCCACTCCACGACTTGATGTCCAAGAAAGGTACATTCAGAAAACAGCCATACAGGTTGAGTATCAACTTGTAAACCCTTCCAACACACCAATGGCAAGCAGTAAGAGTAGGACAGATTCCTGGTCGACCATGTGAGCAATCTGCAGAAGATAACAGCAAACCACTGCAGTGCCTTTGCAAGCATAACTATAAGCCAACACAACAGTCAACAATGACCTCTAGGGAAACTGCACCTGCAGAAGAAGGTGGGTTATTGTGATGCTACAATATTCCTCATTCTTGCACCTTCAGCTGTCTAGACATTATGTTCTGGAATTCTTTCCCTGAGCTTCTACACTTTTTTCTCATCCTTTAAAACACTCCTTAAAAACTACATTACTTACAGAGCTTTTGTTGTCCTATTTCTATTACCTCCTATTGTGGTTCAGAGTCATTTTTTGTATTGTAATGCTCCTGTGAAACACCTTGGCATGTTTTATTATGTGAAAGGTTCTATAGAATTATAGAGTTTGTTCTTAACATGTTTTAAATCAGATAAAATCTGACAGTGGCCAAAAGGATTATCAGCAATTTGTGGAGATGCCACAACAATCCTGAAGTGATCATAACTCCACAGGAGTTAAGTCTTGGCATCCTCACTGCAAAATCCAGATTTCTTATCCTGGCAGTGAAATCAGAGAGGCCTGTCACCCAGAACCCATCGTTTAAAAGGCAATGGTACCAGCTGAAAATTTGTAAACGATATAAGACTTGGAAGCATTGTAAGCTGTGAGAAGTTTGGTGTAGAATTTCAAAAGCACACAGGCAGATTGGTGAAATGAGTGACTGGGGCAACCAACATTTAATGCAGAGAAACGTGAAAAGATTTAGTTTGGTAGGAAGAACATGTAGAGCAGAACCTTCTGGGCTCGGAAACAGGAAGGAAACATAATGATGCAGGATTGTGGCAAACAAGAGCCTTACCCTAACTAAATTCAAGACAGAAAGACCCAAGCTTAACCCAACTGCCCTTTTGCCAATTAAGGCCCTTAAGTAGTTACTCAACAACCTCCAAAGGGCCTCATCCCACCTGAGATGTGATTACTTCAGCTCTAGGCAGGACAAGAAAGTATCAGTCTTTTTAAATGGAAAATCAATACTGGCAGACTGTCAGCTTGAGAGGTGGCGCACCTTGATCTGCACTAACTTGGCAAAGACCCAAAGGCAGGTTCTATGAGAGAGGGGTGGTCCCTGAAACCTACCCCGCCCTTTCCTTTCAAAACCATCCCATCTTTCCCTGTGCCCCAGCCCCAAAAACCACCACTCTCCCCCACACAACACCTACCTTTCTTCTATCCTAGAGAAGGGGCGTAATGTCTCGACAGCAGCCACAGCCTCTGCTGTGGCCCTACCAAATTCTGAAGCTGCTGGCATCTAATTGGTTGGCAGTTCATCCTGCTCCATGGTCCCAATTACAGTAGAAAGCCCGCCAGCAGCTAAATTGGATGCGGCATGGTGGCTCAGTGGCTAGTAATGCTGCCTCACAGCGCCAGGGATCCAGCTTTGATTCCAGCCACTGGCGACTGTCTGTGTCGAGTTTGCACATTGTCCCAGTGTCTGCGTGGGTTTCTTTCCGGTGCTCCAGTTTCCTCCCACAGTCCAAATATGTGCAGGTTCGGTGGATTGGCCGCGCTAAATTGCCCATGGTGTCCGGAGTTGTACAGGCTAGGTGGATTAGCATTGGGAAATCCAGGGTTACAGGGATAGGGTATAGGAATGGGTCTGGGTTGGATGCTGTTCAGAGAGTCAGTGTGGACTTGATGGTTTGAATAGCCTGCTTCCACACTTTAAGGATTTTGTGATTCTCTGACTAGATCAGCTGCCTGATTACCAAAAGGTCCAGAGAGCTTTCTCAACTTAACAGGACAGAAGTTTCTCTCCTGGGAACAGTCCTGCTTAGTGCTCAGTCCTGAATTAGTACAAATAATATTCCACCAAGAGAGAAAATATCAAATTAAGGATACAACTCTAAAGGGGTCGCCGATCCAGAGGGACCTGGGTGAATACGCATATTATTCCTTGAAAGGGAGAGAGACATTAATAAAATATATAGTACCTCAGCTTTCTGAAGAGGGGTACAGTGTACAAGTGCAAGGAAGTTATGTTGTAAAATTATACCCCAGTTGAGTCTGAGAAGTATGTTTAGTTCTGGATACATACTTTAAAAACATTCGAGAGTGTGCAGAAAAGATCAATGAGAATAGTTCCAAGTTGTGGAACTTTCTTTTAATTCCTTCATGGGTTGTGGGCACATCGCTAGCTGGTGTTTTTGCCCTTCCCTAACTGCCCAGAGGGCAGTTAACAGTCAACTACATTGTTCTGGATGTGGAGTCACATGTAGGCCAGACCAGGTGAGGATGGCAGATTTCCATCCCTAAAGAATATTCGTGAATCAGATGGATTTTTACAAGTGACAATGATACATAGTCACCACTAATGTAAATTTCTATTCCAGAGTATTTTTTCTTGAATTCAAATGTCCCCACCTGGCATTAGGGTATTTGAATACATGTCCTCAGAAACATTAATCTGAGGTTCTGGAATACTAGTCCAGTGATGTGACCAAGTTGCCACCATTTCCCCTAAAGTTCTGTTCTGTGAACAGTTTAGCGAAAAAGGGGCTGTTTTCCTTGGAGCACAGAAGGTTGAGAAGAGATTTAATGAAAGTATTCAAAAATCATGATAGGTCTGGACAGTGTAAATGGAAAGAAACGATGCCCATTGATGGAAGGATCAAGAGCAAGAGGGCACAGGTTTAAGGTAACTGGCAAAAAAGCAATAGTGACATGAGGAAAATATCTTCACACGGAGAGTGGTTAAGATTTGCGTAGTTTGAGAGTACGGTGGTAACTCAAGCAAGGCCTTCAACAGAAAACTGGATTATTATCTGTGAGACAGATAAGTGCAGAGTTATGAAGAGAAGGCAGATAAACTGTCCTAAACTTATTTGGAGAGCTGGCCCAGACAAAAGACCAAATGGCCTCCTCCTGAGCTGTAACCATTTAGCATGAATTAACAAGACTTAAACTGCAGTAACTAACTTCTCGGGTCATTACATTGTCCATTGTACGGCCCACTTATTTAATTCAGTCACATTTCTGTTGTCACCACCTGACCTCAGCTTGACCCCTTGTTTCCTAAAAGCCACTTGGTGAAAACAGGATGATTATACCTCAAGTCCTTCAGGGTCATCTGATCAAACAAGGGAATTACTAATATCTTTACCAGCAGAAACCTTTGCATTGGTTGTTATTTTGAGGACAGGGATTCAAATCTGAAACCTTGTGTCCGGGTTGTTATGGGATGGCTGGAGTATGAAGCTAAATACAGGATAATATTCCCAGACCTGACATTTCTGACTTTCAAGAATGCCTCCTTACTCTTTATGCAGCAATAAAAGAACAAATAGTCCTCAAATAGAAGCAGCCATTTAATCCAAATATGCTGCGTTGCTTACATTGCTTTACACTTAGCAGGTAGCTTCCTCTCCACCCACACCCCATCTCTGTCCCCCCAAGCCCCACCCAGTGTTTCTGTTCCATTTTCTTTCTGTCTCCCAGTTTCTAATCCTTCTCTTTTTCTCTGCATCCAAGTTTTGTTTGTTTTTTTCTCTCTCTCCCTGGCTCCCCTATTGCTTTCACTCTCCCCATGCTTGTCCATTTCTATTTCTCTTTCAACCTCTCAATTTCTGTTTTTCTTTCACCATCCTAAGCATTTAGTTTCTGTCTCTCTTTCTCTTCCCCATGTCTGGTGCAGCTTCTGGTTTACTCTCTCTTTCTCTTTCACCTCCCCAGTTTCTGTTGCTCTCTTTCTTCCCCTCTACAGTGTGTATTGTATTATCTCTCTTCACCCCACAATTTTTATCTCTTTCATCCCACACCCCAAGTTTCAGTTTCTCTCTTCCTTCCCAAATGGCATTTTGTCTTTCTTTCTGTTTCTCATCTGATTTCTGTTTCTCTCTCTTTACCAGCTGCCCTCTCAGGACTCAGAACTTTCAGACAATACTCATTGGCCCCAAATGTTATTGGCAGTGAAGTGGTGCATTTGGAACAATTCCAAGGTTTGGAGATTGTGTGTTAGATAGACCAACAAGGCTCAGACGACATGGTGTGTTGATAAGTCATACTTCTGGGGTGCTGTGGATTGCATGAACAGTATTTACAGGAACACTTCCTCCGATTCACTAGCAATAACTCCGGGAAACTAAATGCCCATTTCCAAAAACCAGGAAGCATGAGGACTCTAATTCATTGTGGCAGCAAATTCCACAATTTCACCACTGACTAGGTAAAAATGTTTTTCTTAAAATTCTTGTGGATTTATTTGTGACCATTTTATATTTATGACCCTTAGTTTTAAACTGTACTATATGCAGAAACATGTTTTTCTCTCTGTTACACAGTGTTAATTCCTAAGTCTTGTGCAGTTTGGTCAGTCTGATATTGTCTCCCAAATACGGGTCCAAACTGCCTCCTTTGCTGAACTTGGAAGGTCAGATGTCTTTGCAGAAGTATTTAGTTCTTCCAATCAGAGATCATTGAATACAGAGTAGATGCAGTGCTAACATAGTTTCCTAGATTATAACAATTGCTACATTCATCAGTTCTTCATAGGATGCTCCAAAGTGTTTTGCAACCAAAGATTTGTAATGTAATTCAATGATCCAAAAGAATGTACTTATTAAACATCAGAATCTTCCACATAGGAACACCCTTGATAAGTACAGACATGATCACTTGAACATGGGTATCCATACACACTCAAAATAGTGTGCATTCACACAAATCTTACATGCACACCCACAAGTGTATATACACCTACATATCCGTGCATGTGCCTGCTCCTACCCATGCATACATTCATGTGCAAACACATGTACAGGTAACGTAAAGGATCACATTGGAATGGTTCACTTGTAGGAACGTTCTAGCTTTGAGGTGTTAAGCATTGCCACTTAAAAAAGGTGTTTGCTCATCAATGTTGTTCTGCTGTTTCCACATGAACAGTGCAGTTGGGCTGACAAGTGGCAAGTGACATTTGCCACTCACAAATGCCAGGCTCTGACGATCACTATTCAGAGACAATCTAACCACCGCACCTTGCCAATCAATGGTGTTACCATCACTGAATCCCCCACTATCAACATCCTGGGGGTTATCATTGACAGAAACTCAACTGGATTCACCACATAAACACAGTGGCTACAAGAGCAAGTCAGAAGCTAGGAATGCTGCAGCAAGTAACTCACCTCCTGACTCCTTAAAGCCTGTCCATCATCTACAAGGCACAAGTCAGGGGTGTGATGGAATACTCTCCACTTGCCTGGATGAGAGTAGCCCCAACAACACTCAAGAAACTTGACACCATCCAGGGCAAAGTAGCCCGCTTGATTGGCACTACATCCACACCCTCCACCACCGACGCTCAGTGGTGGCAGTGTGTACTATCTGCAAGATGCACTGCAGAAATTCCCCAAAGATCCTCAGACAGCACCTTCAAAACCTACAACCACTTCTATCTAGAAGGACAAGGGCAGCAGATATATGGGAACACCACCACCTTCAAGTTCCCCTCCAAGCCACTCACCATCCTGACTTGGATATATATCGCTGTTCCTTCACTGTCACTGGGTCAAAATCCTGGAATTCCCTTCCGTAATGGCATTATGGGTTCAGCCCACAGCAAGTGGACTGCAGCTGTTCAAGAAGGCAGCTCACCACCACCTTCTCAAGGGCAACTAGGGATGGGCAAGAATTGCTGGCCAGCCAGCAATGCCCACATCCCACAAATGAATTTTAAAAACCCCACTCTGTCTCATTCAGTACCCACTCCCTTTAACATCCCATCTCATCCACTCTCAGTCTTCTAGCTGCTCTTCATACTTATGACAGTGCAACTGTCAAATTCACTTCCAGCAGAATTCATGGGCTCTTTCTAAAATAGATTGTAGGAGCAAATCTCACAATCCAACCTCCCTGTCTGAAAATGTATATTTCTGATCACCACTTTCCAATCACTAAAGTTGATGCTTAACAAACATCAACGGAACCATAGGAAATAACAGGAGTAGGCCAATCAGTCCTTTGAGCATGCACCACCATTCAATATGATCATGGCTGATCATCCTACTCAGTATCCTGTGCCCTCTTTGTCCCCATGCCCTTTGATCCCTTTAGCTCTAAGAAGTATATCTAATTTTTGAAAACATTCAATGTTTTGGCCTCCACTGCTTTCTGTGACAGAGAATTCCACAGGCTCACCACTCCCTGGGTGAAGAAATTTCTCTTCAATTCAGTCCTAAGTGGCCTACCCAGCATTCTTAGACTGTAACCCAGTTTCTAGACTCTCTGGACTCTCTCGGGAACATCCTTCCTGTGTTAACCAGTCTAGTCCTGTTGGAATTTTACAGGTTTCTATGAGAATCCCCCTCATTATTCCAAATTCCAGTGAATATAGTCCTAACTGATCCAGTGTCTCTTCATGTATCAGTCCCACCAGCCCAGGAATCAGTCTTGTAAACATTTGTTGCACTCTGTCCATAGCTAGAACATTCTTCGTCAAGCAAGGAGACCAAAACTGCACATAGTGCTTCAGGTGTGGTCTCACCAAGGCCCTTTACAATTGCAGTAAGGCATCCCTGTGGTTGTACTCCAATTCTCTCACTATGAAGGCCAATATGATTTGCCTTCCTCACTGCCTGCAGCAGGACAGCTTTAAGTCTGGTGACATGGTTTAAAAGCCCACGAGGGGTTTTACTCTGGAAATGTAGGACAATCCCAGTAATAGTGACCATGGAAATGTCATTGATTTTTGTGAAAAGGTAGCTGATTCACAATGTCCTTTGAAGAAAGAAATCTGCCATCCGTATCTGGTCTTGCCTACACATAATTCTAGACTCACAGTAATGTGTGTTGATTTTTGACTGCCTTCTGAAATGGCCCAGCAAACCACTCAGGTCAAGGGCATTTAAAAGTGGGCAACAAATTCTGGTCTTACAAGTGACACTCACATCCTATGAAAGAACGAAAAAAAGTAAATAAAGCTGAGGGTTATCACTGCTCAAGTTGCAGTGGAATGGGGCAGAGGGATATTAGTGCCTCAGTTGAAAGGAGGTGTGCTGGAGAGACTTCACTGGTGCACTGAGAGGGAGCTGGTGTTAATTACATCGTGTTACACAGGAGGCACTGAGTGACACAATGTATGTTCCATCCTTACCTGGAACTCACGCAGAATGGTTGAGATATTGGTCTCGCTGGCCAGATTAGTCAGAACTTCCAACTGCACAAGACAAGAGAGAAGGTTATCTTGGTTTCCTGGTGTAGAGCACCTGTAACCAATCTGTTACTCTGTAGCATCAAGATATGCAAATCAACAGCAACTGTGCATGCACACTCACCTTCAGCACTTTAATCTGCGTTGGGTCTGTGGATCTGATGTAGAAGCTCTTTAGGTGGGGCTCAAACATTCCCTTAAAAATCAGAACAGGAGGTCAATAAATGCTCAACACAGCAGAGATTTGACTGTTTATCTGTATCTATAGTAACCTTGTGAGATATGAAACATATCTGCATTATTCTTCAATTATTCTCACCTTCACTCAAATTTTCATAACTTCATCCTCACTGTTTTTTCCTCATTTATTAGAACTATTTACTCATCATCCTTATACAATCAGACAAACAGCAGAGAAACAGGACATTTGAACCATATTATCTGTGCCCTGATCCTTGAAAATCTGTACCAATCCAATTCATCCCACTCCCTCTGTTCTACATCCCTGCATATTTTCTTCATATGTTTATAGGTTTCTTCTCATCCCCACCTCAGTTCTTTAGCCAATTTTCTTACCTGTTTCCCCTGGTTACCAACGCTTCTGGCAATGGAAACGGCTTGTCCCATATGCCCTATCAAATCCCTTCCTTAAGATGAACCTCTCTGTAAAATCAGGAGGTCTCTTGGCACAGGAGGTGGCATCCCCAACTCTGAGACAGAAGATCCAGGTTGGAGTCCTATTCTAACTTGATGAACCTGAGGCAGACTAAGGGAGATATGTTTGTAACACAGCTAAAAAGATTGAGTACCAACTTGTAAATCCTTCCAACACATGCCAGTGGTAAGCATAAACAGCAGGAAAGATTCCTGGTTAGGCATGCGATGGAAATAAATTGGAGTCTCCACCATCACTACGCATTGCTCCAGGCCAAAACATGAGACCAAGTTTTATTGCCCCAGCAAGCCAGAATCCTTGACTGAATTGCTACACAGCACACCTATATATCCCTTCTAACCTCATGTCTCCACTCAAGAAACCAATCCCAGCTTCTGTGAACTACTTCAGTTCCTCTCATTTCTGCTGTCTGTGACAGTTCATTTAAACTATAAATGAGTGTTTGTTACTCATTCTCAGTGCTAACAGTTCTCTGTTCTCAACAACAGTGTCACAGGGTCAAATGAAATGGTCCCACTTCCACCTTAAGCTAAAGTCTTGCTTATCTCGATGTTGCCAGTCAGACTAAACATGAGCAAAGGAGCTTAACATCTATAGAAATAGTAACAACAGAAGTGCCCATCAAAGTGATGCAGGATTTGTAACACAGGACACCTTCAGGCTCCTGAAGGAACTGGAACAATCATGACTCACCCTTCGTTTGATTGACATGGAGGCAACATTCTGCAGCACCACAAACTGCACCTCACTGTTTGGAGAGAGTGAGAGGGATAGACAGACAGAAACAGAGAGAGAGAGAGAGAGAGAGAGCTATAATTTATTGCACTTAAATCAACTAAACTAGCCCAGCCACCGCACCCAAGCTTCGTTCAAATATTATGGAATGAAGACTGACTGTAAAGAGAGACACTGCAAGTTCAAGGACACAGGCCAGAGTTTCAAAGAAGATATTAAACCCAAAACCCCATCTGTCCTCATAGGTGGATATAAAAGATCCCAAGTTCAATATTCTCTGGATTTTAGAATGAGAGGTGATCTTATTAAAACACGTAACATTCTGAGGGGCTTCACAGAATAGATGCTGAGAGGATGTTTTCCCCCATAGGGGAATCCAGAATAAGGGAACACAGTTTCAAAATAAGGGTTTCCTATTCAAGACAAAAGTGAGAAGGGGGATTTTCATTTTTCAGGGGGTAATTAATTTTTAAAATTTTTCAAACTTCAAAATTATTTCATTGGCTGTGAGTGACGTGGGGATATCTTGAGGTTGTGAAAGTTGCTGTATAAATGCAAGTTTCTCTTTCAGTTTACTGGAAGAGTGATTGCTGAACAAGCTGTTTCAGTTAATGGCAGGGTTCTGGTGAAGAATAGGCAAAAAATCACTTGCATCGACAATCTGTCTCAGGATCTCAGGAAGAAGACTAAAGACCAATAGTAGGTGACTGGAAGATAGGCCTTGAAAAATTAAACTGAAGAAATCAAACTCTGGACTGTCTCCTGATCATTTTTATTAATATCAGTGTATCAGCTCAAGATATGTCCATCTCGGAGGAGAGACAAATGCATCTGAACTCTTCTTGGTGCCCGAGCTCTGGTCAGTCAATGAAATGACCGATGTTGTTGAGCTCTTGAGGAGATGCCATCACTAACTGGTCTGATCATAGGAAATTTTCAAAACTGTGCTTAACTGAAAATCAAAGTCCATCTGAAAAGATCAATTCATTGTCCAGTTCCCAAAAATGCAGATGGCAAATTTGGAAATTAGAAGATACACATGACTGCCATGCAAATCTCTTTTTAATTTATTCTTTTATAGGATGTGGGCTCCACTAGCTCGGCCACTTAATGCTCATCCCCAATCACCCTTGAGAAGATAATGGTGAGTTGCTTCTTGACCTGCTACAGCTGATATGTTGTAGGTACATGCACAGTGCTCTTAGGGAGGCAGTTCAAGGATTTTGACTCAGTGACAGTGAAGGAACAGCAATATTGTTCCAAGTCAGAATGATATGTGATTCTATAGGACAAGACAATGCTTTACTGCACAAGGTGATGGAGCTGGAACAAGCATCTTATTTCTGTATATCAAATTGACATGACTATAAGGATGGAGACATCTCTCAAAGGCTTCTTGAAATGGAGTTTTAGATTGAGCTCCAAAGAGAGAGACTTGTTCCTGAAATTCTTTATCTTGCATTCATTAGGACAGACAGTAGAGTGCCAAATTTCAAACAATTGGAGGAATTTGTACTTCGGGTGAAAAGGGAGCTAACTGGTGACAAAAATCGATTCTGAATGTCCCAGCAATGAGGAACTACAGGCTTCCCAAGCTCTTGGGTATTTCAAAATGCAATGCAAGTCTTGAACGTTTTCATTTTTCTTTTACAGAGAATGGATCCTTCCATATTTTAAATTCATTATTACTGTAGCTATTAGCAACACGGAATTGTACAGCAAGTGTTGCTCAATCACAGAATCACATCTAAGAGTCGTCACTGTACTTCGGATTTTGCAAATGTGGCCAGTTGAAATACGGTCTGTATATGACTTATTTCAAGCAACTATAGGAATATAAACAGATGAGCTTATAATATGGTTCATTTGTTTGCTAGAAACGCTGAACATATGCAGGGATTGCTCTCTATGAACAAAAGGATATGCTCAAATCTTGCACTTTTTAAAAATTACCTGGGAGCTTGGGGAGCCTAAAAACATTGCTTAGCCAATCAGAGTCACCTTACCAACAATCAGCAACTTCTAGCGTACAATTCTGTGATTGCTTGAGATTTAGCATTGCTGCATTTGTCCTGAGTGAGTACAAAATGAAAAGATTCAGCAATATGTCACCTTTTTCAGCAATATTCAAATTCTGAACTACCAAACAGCAATCTACTCATTCCTCCTTTTACAATGGATAAAGTAGATCAAATATGCCTGTATTTTCCCTTCAACGTTTGCTTGCTTCCCTTTTAATAAATGCCATTTGATCATTCAGAAATACATAGTGCAGATTTAACATGAATCTGGAAAGAAAAACAAATCCTCTATGGCTCAGGCAGCATCAGAGGAACAGGGAAGCTGACGTTTCGGGTAGGGACCCTTCTTCATAAGAAGGTCTGCTGTGTTCCTCCAGCTCCACACTTTCTCACATCTGACTCCAGGATCTTGCTATCTCTCCTCTATGGTACAATTGTGGGTAAAATAATGAATTATTACTCTGACTGAAATGCCAAAGAACCTCCCCATTGCAAATGAAACGCTAAATACCGTTTTGCATGTGTGATTAACTAGTCATTCCATTGGCTGCAGAACAATTCTCCCTTTAATATTCTGGGAGCTTTTCATCCAGGAATAGTTGCACCTGCCCCTTGCATTGGCCGTACTATTGTTTATCCATGAAAGTTATCGGACGTGAGCCTTGTTTCCCCAATTCCCATGTACTACTTCTGGCAAGCAGAACACCAAAGTCAGGTATTTCAAAACCCCCTACAAGTTGAGCAGAAACCCTGGAGGAACAGAGCTGGTCATTGATAACATCACTCAGATTCAAAGGAAGCCAGTACTCGGCACTGGAAAGCAGAAAGTTTCTTTCTTCTTCAGAGCTCATGGACATGTACAGCTGTCAAAAATTTGTCCTGTTTGCTGAAGAGGTGTTGCTTACCTGTGACTGCGTAGCAGGCGAACAAGTGCCTTGGCTATCACACCAACCTCTGCTTTGGGAGCAAGGTGGAAGTAAAGTTGTGCCACAGCCATCACTACCTGAGGGCCCAGGAGACAAAGGAAAAGGTCAGCATTGAGAATGGGAACCCTGACAGAGCCAACATTTGGAGCAGGACAGCTACAGGCAAAGGTAGAAGCACTGCTGATGTGGACTGATGTGAATATTTCCTCATTTTATTAAGTACCTGCCTTGCCTTTGTTTGGATTTCTATCAACACATTACTGATTTCAACATGACTCTCAGTTGATGTGCCTTATGTTGGGAATACATAATTGTATTTAGAGACTATTCTAGAAAAATCCTAGAAGATTTTAACTAATAGACATTTTCAGGATTGAAACAGGGTGATTTCTTTGAAATGAGGTCGGCAGTTAAATGCGTGACATGGATTACTGCTTTTTATAAGAAATCAAGTGAATTTGGAGTAACAACTAAGGAAAGCTTTCAAGGAGGTAAGCTATGCGATTAATTGTCTTAATTACTAGAAAGTAAACTGGCTTTAAGAGGACTACATGTCCCCATACTAATAAGATGTGGAGTTTATTGCTTTAACTACTAAAAACATACTTTCTTTAAGAGTTCCCTATGCAATTGGATGCCTAGAACATGTATCTGGACTGAACAGTTCTGTTCTTCAGACCTAGAAATCTGTGTAAGGAAGACACTCTTGAAGCAATAGGACTCTCTCCTGAAATCCTGTTCTATGCAGAAGTTCCTGTCAACCTGATATAGTTTCCAAATACCAGTATTTCTAAGTACCTGGTAGTACTTGAAGTATTGGTCTGTGACCAATTCTCAGAGACGCAAATCAAATTGGTTGGAATCAGAATTGGACATCTATCATCAATCTACAGCTGTCAGCAATTCAGCTTTGTTGGCAGGAGAAAGTAGAAATGCAAAGTCATCACATTTTATCCTTTGATTCCAGACACTTGGCCTGCAGGAGTTGTTCTTTCCCTCTCACTTTTCAGTTAAAAGAACGTAGTCTCTGCAGAGATTTTCTTTTCACACTGTTTAGATGTGTCTTTGTATGAGTCTAAGGGGATTTAGTCTAATTTTGGATCATAGCTTAGATGTTAATTAGGCTTTAATCATTTCTTCAAGATTCAGGTTTGTTCCTAATAAACAGATTATTTTGAATTCATTAAAGAAGCTTAATGGACATTTCTTCTATTTTGGATGGTAGTTCAAAAGAGAAGTGATTGGTCATTTGGCAATTGAATCAACAAATTTCTGCTAATGGTGTGACTGGTGGAGTCTTGTATTTTGATTCCAGTACCAATGCAGTCCTTCCATCACAGTCGTAACATTTCCCCATTTTCTGCCCCGAAAACCTTTTCCATTGAACACCTGTTTCTTGTTTTCCATTATTAATGGCCTAGACTCACTTTCTATTGGATCAATGTCCACTTTGTTTATTCATTTCCTTTTTAAATATCAAAAGAAACTCTCCCTATCTGTTTTTATATTTTTAGCTAGCTTTCTCTTGTATGCTAAATTTTCCTACCTTATTAATTTTTTTGGATAATCTTTTCTGTTTTTGATAATCTGTGCACTCTTTTGTCCTGCCTGCCATCTTTGACCAATAATATGCTTGTTTTTAAATTTTATAATATCTTCAGCTTCTTTGGTTAAACAATCATGATGGATGTTCCCATTGGAATTTTTCTTTATTGTTTGAATATATCTATTCTGTGTATTTGGGAATATCCTCTTAAATGTCTGCTAATTCATCTTCATTGACCCTATCCGCTAACCTGATTTGCCAGTCCAATTTCACTAGCTCTGTGTCATGCTGTCACACTGCTCTTATTAATGTTTTAAAACACCAGTCTTGGACTCACTTCTCTCTCCCTCAAATTGAAATTAAAATGCGATAATATTAACATTGTTGCTGCCTAGGGCTTCTTCACTGCAAGTTTATTAATTAACCTAGTTTGTTGCACATTATAAGGAGTGACATAGCCTGCATCCTGGCCAGCTCAAAAACATACTGTTCTAAGAAACTATCCTGAAAATATTCTATGAACCCCGCATCTAAGCTACCTTTGCCCATCTGATTGTTCAGATATTAAAATGTAGATTAAAATATCCCATGAATTTTGCTCTACCTTTTATTAAAGCTTGTTTAACCCTACCCAAGAAGAGCAGAAAGTGAAAACTTACACTTTAAATTTAAGTTGAAATGTTAATTGAAAACAAGCAAAACTAAATGTTATAAAAGTGCTTAACACTTAAGATTCACTCCTTTACAAGGATTTCTGTCAGTCCCATGCTAAGTTTAAGTTTTATTCTTTTATATGATATGGGTGTTGCTGGCAAGACCTACATTAATTGTCCATCCCCAATCACCATTGAACTGAGTGGGTTTCTCATCCATTTCAAAGGGCAATTACGAGTCATCCATACTGCTCTGGGTCTGGCGTCACATTCAGGCCAGACTGGATAAAGATAGCAGCTTTTCTTCTCCAAAAGACATTTTTGAACCAGAAGGGTTGTTATGACAATTGACGATAGCTAGATTTTAATGATAAAATTTAAATTTCACCGGCTACTGTGGTGGAATTTGAACATACATCTTCACAACATTAGCCTGAGTCTCCAGTTTACTGGTCCAGTAACTTTATCACAACTCCACCATCTCAGCCTCACATTTGCAGCTTGCTGGCACTGTTTCCACATTAAAGGCACATTTGTACCCCTCAGATGTGGGGAGATGTCCCCAAATGCTACATCTTACCGCAGCATTCCGGCTCTGGAGAAGGGGTTTAGTGTTGCGAAGCAGTAGACGGTGGTCAGGGTCCATGACATACGGTTTCCGTTTCGGAAGCACAGCCGCATCCATTTCCCCTTGCTTGGATTCCTCCTCATCTGATCCATAAAATGTTTTTTCCGGGTTTTCCTCCAATAATGATTCCTGCCCACAACAACCAGGGAATAAATTGCGCTGTTATAATGCATTGGGAAGCCAGGTGACAAACTGTTGATTTATACAGGGGAACTTCACAAAGAACTAAAATTTACACAAACGTTTATGAAGAACACTCAGTCTATCCAGCTTCCCCTGAAGCATGATGGTTACATCAATAATATGTATTAATATAGAACCTTCAAAGTACTACATCTTTTCAAAGCACCTCACAGAAATACAATGAAACAAAATTTGACACGAAGCTACTGGGGGGCATGGCCAACAGATTGGTCAAACAGGTAGGTTTTAGCAAGTGTTTTAAGGGACGCAAGAGATAGAGAGGTTTAGGGAGGGATTTCCTCTGCTTGGAGCCTAGACAACTGGATGCATGGTTGCTAATGGTGGAGCAATTAAAATCACAGATGCCACTGCAGGCTGTGATTCTACCTGTCCCCAGTGTTGTGAAGGACTGGTCTAGTCACATTGCCGTGGAATATTACATTCAGCTAAACCTGTTCCTTGTGAACAGTTGTGGAAGAAAACACCTTTGACCACAAGTCCATCATGTAGTGGTCAGCACATAATGCTTTAGTAGATGCTTTAAAAGAAATAGGGAGGGTGGTAAAAGAGGCGGCGGAGTGGCATTGCTAGTCAGGGCTAGTATAGCAGCTACTGAAAGGCAGTTCGAGAATGATATGTCTACAAAGTCAGTTTGGGTTGAGGTCAGGAACAAGAAAGGAGCAGTCACTTTGTTGGGTTTTTTTTTTACAGACACCCTAATAGTTGCAGAGAAGTGGAGGAGTGGATTGGGAGGCAGATACTGGAAAAGTGCAGAAGTCACAGTGTTGAGTCATGGGTGACTTCAACTTTCCAAATATTGATTGGAAACTTTTTAGTTGTAATAGTTTAGATGGAGCTGATTTTGTCCAGTGCGTTCAGGAAGAATTCCTGGCACAGTATATAGATAGACCAACACGAGGAGAGGCCACTTTGGATTTGGTGCTTGGCAATGAACCGGGACAAGTGTTAGAACTGTTGGTAGGAGAGCATTTTGGCGGTAGCGATCATAACTGTTACTTTTACAATAGTCATGGAAAAGGATAGGTACACACAGCAAGGTAAGGTTTATAATTGGGGGAAGGGTAATTACAATTCTGTTAGGCAAGAACTGGGTGATGTCAAATGGGAACAGATGCTGTCAAGGAAGAGCACTATAGAAATGTGGAGATTGTTTAAGGAATGCTTACTGCATGTGATTGATATGTTTGTCCCTAGCAGGCAGGGAAGATGCGGTCGAGTGAGGGAGCCTTGGTTCTCAAGAGAGGTCGAACGACTAGTTAAGAGGAAGAAGGATGCTTATATAAGGTTTAGGAAACAAGGATCGGAAAAGGCTCTAGAGGAATACAAGTTAGCCAGGAAGGAGCTGAAGAAAGGCCTTAGGAGAGCTATAATGGGGCATGAGAAAACCTTGGCAGATAGGATCAAGGAAAACTCCAAGGCTTTTTACACGTATGTGAGGAATAAGAGAATGATAAGAGTAAGGGTAGGGCCGATCAAGGATTGTAAAGGGAATTTATGCATGGAGCCTAAAGAGATAGGAGAGGTCCTTAATGAATACTTTTCTTCGGTATTCACAACTGAGAGGGACCTAGTTGTAGGGGAGGGCAGTGCGAAACAGGCTGGTAGTCTAGAGGAGGTTGATGTTAGTAAGGAAGATGTACTAGGAATTTTGAAGACCTTGAAGATAGATAAGTCCCCCAGGCCTGATGGGATTTATCCAAGGATTCTATGGGAAGCGAGGGAAGAGATCGCAGGGCCGTTGGCAATGATCTTTTCGCCCTCACTGTCCACGGGTATAGTGCTGAAAGATTGGAGAGTGGCAAACATCATTTCGTTGTTCAAAAAAAGGGAATAAGGATAACCCCGGAAATTATAGGCCAGTTAGTCTTACTTCAGTGGCGGGCAAATTATTGGAAAGGGCTCTGAGAAATAGGATTTATGATCACTTGGATAGGCACAGTTTGGTTCGTGATAGTCAGCATGGATTTGTGAGGGGTAGATCATGCCTCACAAACCTTATTGATTTCTTTGAAGAGGTGACCAAACACATGGATGAAGGTAGAGCAGTGGATGTGGTATACATGGATTTAAGTAAGGTGTTTGATAAGATTCCCCATGGTAGACTCATGCAGAAAGTAAGGAGGCATGGGATAGGGGGAAATGTGGCAGATTGGATTCAGAATTGGCTGACCCTTAGAAGACAAAGGGTGGTAGTGGACGGAAAATATTCAACATGGTGCTCAGTTACGAGTGGTATACCACAAGGATCTGTTCTGGGTCCTCTTCTATTTGTGATTCTTATAAACGATTTGGATTTAGGAGTGGAAGGGTGGATTAGTAAGTTCACGGATGATACGAAGGTGGGTCGAGTTGTGGATAGTGCGGAGGGCTGTTCTAGGTTACAAAGGGACATTGATAGGATGCAGAGCTGGCTTGAGAAGTGGCAGATGGAGTTTAACCCTGAAAAATGTGAGGTGATTCATTTTGGAAGGACAAACTTGAAAGCAGAATACAGGGTTATCGGAAAAATTCTTGGCAGTGTGGAAGAGCAGAGGGATCTTGGGGTTCATGTCCACAGTTCCCTGAAAGCTGCCACCCAGGTGGATAGCATTGTTAAGAAGGCCTATGGTGTGTTAGCTTTCATTAATAGAGGGATTGAGTTCAAAAGCCGTGAAGTTATGCTCCAGCTATACAAAACCCTGGTTCGGCCACATCTGGAGTATTGTGTCTAGTTCTGGTCCCCTCATTACAGGAAAGATGTGGAAGCATTGGAAAAGGTTCAGAGGAGACTTACCAGGATGTTGCCGGGAATGGAGGGAAGGCCTTACGAGGTAATGTTGAGAGAGCTCGAGCTTTTCTCTTTAGAATGACGAAGGATGAGAGGTGACTTGATAGAGGTGTACAAAATGATCAGAGGTATACATAGAGTGGATAGCCAGAGACTTTTTCCTAGGGTGGAGGCAGCTATTATGAGGGAGCATAGTTTTAAAGTGAGTGGAGGTAGATATAGGGGAGACGTCAGAGGTACGTTCTTTACTCAGAGAGTGGTAGGGGCGTGGAATGCATTGCCGGAGAGGATAGCGGAGTCAGCCTCATTAGGGGCATTTAAGTGGCTATTAGATAGGCATATGGATAATAGTATAAGGTGGGGGTGGAGGTTAGATAGATCTTGGGTTTAGGGTAAAAGTTCGGCACAACATCGTGGGCTGAAGGGCCTGTACTGTGCTGTTCTGTTCTATGTTCTATGTTCTACGTTCTAATGTCCTCAAGGCCCTGTCTGGAAAGGAGATGGTGGATCCTGTTAGCTGGTTCCCTCAAAGACTGCTAAAACCATATGGCAGAATTCCTCACCGTCACAAGTACCAAAATGCAGCTTGACTCATGGTGAGAAGGGCCTCCTTGTCAGATCCTTCCTGCACATTCAGCCTCTCTTCACACTGCAGTGGGGAAGAGACTGTCATTCTGAAATGTGCCTTTAACCAAGCAGATCATAAGCAATGCAATGGTTTTTGTGAAATAAGAACATAAACTGAGGCGAATATCAGCTGCAGCTAGAACACCATCATCTCTGTGAAAGATGTTCTTTGGTCTGCTTGAAACATGCTGGCCTTCCAGTCCAAAGAGTTGCCAGTGTCTGAATGTTACAGATTGGAACATGCCAAGGACCAGGAATATGTGCTCAAGTTGCGCCAAAACCTGGAGCAAGTGTGGTAAAATTCCATGGGGAAAGCCCGCTGTTGAAGATCCTCCCATCATAGTTCACCAAGAGACTGGTGACCATCTAAAACGACTCCCAGGCAGTATCTACTGAAAGATGTTTGACATTAAATGTAAATTATACGTATAACATGTAATTTTATATGTGATGAGGTACCATAGAGTGCTAACTACTTCACTGAAAGAAGTGGATCTGTTTCATCCCTTGTGAGGTCAGACTTGAACTGTTTTGTAAAGAAGCCTTACAATGTTATGAATTTTGGGAGAAAAGGTTATTAAGATCATGGATACTCAAGAGATAACAAGGTGTAGGGCTGGATGAACACAGCAGGCCAAGCAGCATCAGAGGAGCAGGAAGGCTGCCGTTTTGGGCCTAGACCCTTCTTCAGATTCTCCAGCATCTGCAGTTCCTACTATCCATGGATACTCAAGAGGCCGGATTTGAAGACGCAGAGATATTTTGCAAGGTTACAGGGTTAGAGGAAGTCATAGAGATAGGGAGGAGTGAGGCCATGGAGGGATTGAAAATGAAGATTGGAATTTAAAAATCAAGGTGTTGCCACACTTTGAGTCAGGATAGATCAACAAAGAACAAAGTTGATTAGGAAATGGGACACGATGTGAGTTGACAGCAGTGGTGAAAATATCTAGCTCAGCATTAAGGAAGGACCGTGTAAATTAGCATAAATACATTTAAAGGGAAAACCAATAAACACAGAAGTCAGAATGGAATAGAAGGAAATGATAAGATGGCCAGGAGTGGGCTCAGATCATGCGGTCAAATGACCTGCTTCTACATAATTAACTGTTTTGGAAATTGAAATGCCAAGCTTGTCCAAACAAGGACTGAAGTGCATTGGTAGAGATCTTGGGAAATAACTTGCGTTGATAACACCTTATGAAGCATGAGGACAGTAGACTGGGAAGGCATGGGATGGGAAGCGGAGGGGCAGGCCAGGTGGGGGCACTGTGCACTTACGTTCTGGTTGGGGTTGAGGAACTGGGTCCGTGCATAGCGTGTGAGCATATTGATGATGACAACCTGTCCCCACTCCTCCACATCAATCAGAAGGTTACAGAGTTTCCGATAGTTCTTGTGAATCAGATCAATCCTCTCAGGGCAAACTTCTTCGAAGGCCATCACCACACTTCCCGCAACCAACTGGTGACAGAGAAACAGGAATGAGGCAACTGAGCATGAGCAAGTAATTTAACTTCTTGACAACGGGGGAGCCACTGGCAAGACGTAAGAACATGAATATATAAGAACTAGGAACACGAGTATGCAATTCAGCCCCTTGAGTCTGCTCCATGATTTGATACGATCATGGCTGATCTCATCTCAGCCTCAACTCCACTTTTCTGCTCACTCTCCATAACCTTTCAACCCATTACTAAGTAAAAATCTGACCATAAGATATAGAAGCAAAATTGGCCCATTCAGCCCATCCTGATTGCTCCACCATTCAATCATGGCTAATATGGTTCTAAATTCCATTCTCCTGGCTTCTCCCCATAACCCTCGATCCTCTTAACAATCAAGAAATTATCTGTCTCTGTCTTAAATATACTCAATGACTGGCCTCCACAGCCTTCTGCAAGAATGAATTTAACAGATTCACCATCCTCTGGCTGAAGATATTCCTCCTCATCTCAGTTCTAAAGGGTTGCCCTTTCACTCTGAAATTATGCCCTAGGGTCCTAATCTCTCCTACTAGTGGAAATATTTTCCTTACATCCACAGGCCTCTCAGTATTCTGTAATTTTCAAACAGATTCTCCCCTCATCATAGGGCAGACCCAGAGTTTTCAACCACTCCTCTGCGACAAGATCTTAATCTTCAGAATTATTCTTGTAAACGTCCTCTGGACCCTTCCAAGGCCAACACATCCTTCCTTAGATGCAAAGCCCAAAACTGCCACACCACCAAATCCAAATTGCTTGTTCCCTAGCACTCTACCACAAGCTGCTCCAAAACCATCTTGTAGACATTCAATGAATTCCTTTTCTTGAGATGTGCTACCAACCTGATTTTCCCAGTCCACCTGCATACTGAAATCTCTCATGATTATTGTAACAGTGCCTTTATTGTGTGCCTTTTCTATATCCTGATTTATTTTCTGCCCCACATCCTGACTACTGCTAGGAGGCCTGTACACAACTCCTATCAGCGTTGTTTTCCCCTGCAGTTTCTCAACTCCACCCACACAGATTCTACACCTTCTGACTCTATATCATTCTTGCTGTCAATTTAATTTCATTTCTTACTAACAAGGCAACTCCACCCCCTCTGCCCATCTGCCTATCCTTTTGATAAGATGTGTATCCCTGAATATTTCATTCCTCACCCTGATAGCCTCGTAGCCATGTTTCTGGGACACAACATCGTAATTTCAATTTCAACCTGCGCTACAAGCTCATTTACCTTGTTTTATGTACTGTATGCATTTAAGTACAACACTCTCAGTCCTGCATTGACTGCCCTCCTCCATCTTCTCATAGCTATCCCTTTATCTGCTGAAGTTAGATTCCTGACCCTTTCCATATTCTCTGTCCTTTTACTTATTCTGGAAACTTTAATAACTTCTGCTAAGCACTCCCACACCCCTCACCAACCCTGCACTTTAACTTCTTCATTATTTGCCATGCAACTGAATCCACCTGACCACAATTTAGTTTAAAGTCCTATCCACAGCCCTAGTTATGCAATTCTCCAGGACTCTGGTCCCAACATGGTTCAGCTGAAGCCCACGCCATTGGAACAACTCCCTCCTTCCTCAGTACTGGTGCCAATGTCTATGAATTCAAACCCACTTTTCCCACACTAATCTTTGAGCCACATGTTTACCTCTTTACTCTTGTTGACTCTGTGCCAAATTGCTCTTGGCTGAGGTAGTAAACCAGAGATTATTACCTTTTTGGTTCTGATTTTAACTTAGCCCCTAGCTGCTCGTATTCCATCAGTAGAACCTCTTTCCTCTTTGTTCCTATATCATTGGTACCTCCATGGACCACGACAACTGGATCTTTCCACTCCCACATCAAGTTCCTCTGCAGCCCAGATGTGATATCCTGAACCTGAGCACCAGGCTGCCAACACAGCCTTCGGGACTCTCGATCCTAGATACAGCATGCAGTGTCTATTCCCCTGATTATACTATCCCCGATTACAACTATATTTCTTTTTTCTCCCTCCTCTTGAATGGCTGCCTGTATGATGGTGTTATAGTCAATTTGCTCATCTTCCTTATATCCCCCACTCTCATCCGCACAGGACCAAGAATCTTAAACGTGTTAGACAAGCTTAAGGGCTGAGGCTCCTTTAGCTCTACCTCCGGAACCCCTCTCATCCCTTGCTGATAGCCTTATCCTCCTGTCCCTGACCACTGACCAAATTGAAGGTAGTTAATTTAAGGGGTGTGACTGCCTCCTGAACCACAGCATCCAGTTAACTCTCTCCCTCCCTGATGTGTCACTGTGTCTGAAGCTCTCAGCAACTCTGAGCCAGAGTTCTTCAAGCAACTAACACTTGCTACAGACGTGGTCACTATGAACCACAATGAGGTCCACTAGCTCTCACATCATGCAGTTACAACACATACCCTGGCCTGGCATCTCTATCTTAATTATGTAGTGCTCAATTTGCTTTTTTAAAATTTTGTACTGGTCTTTTAGTTTATAACCTGTATAGATTTCCCCCATTTACCTTCAATCCGAAAGTAATTTATAATAGATAGTTAAATAAGTAGCTATCACCAACCAATGAACTTACAGTTTATTTGTGATGTCATTCTTTTGTGTTGGGCCCTGATCCTGGTCTTCAATTTATCCTATTTGAAAAAAGTCTTGAGAACTATGAGCCAAAACAAGGCAAGCAAAAAAGCACCTCTTCTTCTCTGCACTGAATTCACATGTTGCCTCCAAATTCCTCTAATTATACACTCACTTCGCCTGTGTCTCATCGTGGATATGACTTCTACTTCCTAATGATACAAAGCTTACTGACTCAGAGATAGTAGGAACTGCCGATGCTGGAGAATCTGAGATACAAGGTGTAGAGCTGGACGAACACAGCAGGCCAAGCAGCATCAGAGGAGCAGGAAAGCTGACGTTTCGGGTCTGGACCCTTCTTCAGAAATTTTCTGAAGAAGG